GGAACTACAGGCCAGTCAGTCTCACCTCTGTGCCCAGTAAGATCATGGAGCTGATCCTTCTGAAAGCTCTGCTAAGGCACATGGAAAATGTGGAGGTAATTGGTGACAGCCAATATGGCTTCGCTAAGGGCAAATCTTGCCTGATAAATTTTGGTGGCCATGAACTTGACAATTGGACCTCTCAGTGGATAAGGAATTGGCTGGATGGTCACACTCAAATTGTGGTCAACGGCTCTATGTCCAAATGGAAATCAATGAGTGGCATTCTTCAGGGGTCAGTATTGGGACTGGTGCTGTTTAACATCTTTGCCAGTGACATGGATGGTGGGATCGAGTGCACCCTCAGCAAGTTTCCTGACAACACCAAGCTGTATGGTGTGGTCAACACTCTAGAGGGAAGGGAAGCCATCCAGAGGGACCTTGACAGGCTTGAGAGGTGGGCCCATGCAATCCGCATGAAGTTCAACAAGGCCAAATGCAAGGTCCTGCACCTGGGTCAGGACAATCCCAAGCACAATTACAGGCTGGGCAGAGAATGGATTGAGAACAGCCTTGAGGAGAAGGACTTGGGGGTGTTGGTTGATGAAGAGCTCAACATGAGCTGGCAATATGTACTTGCAGCTCAGAAAGCCAGTCGTGTCCTGGGCTGCATCAAAAGAAGTACAATCAACAGGTCAAGGAAGGTGATTCTCCCACCCTACTCTGCACTCGTAAGACCCCACGTGGAGTACTTTGTCTAGTTCTGGAGTCCCCCAGACAAAAAGGACATGGAGCTCTTGGAGTGAGTCCAGAGGAGGGCCACAAAGATGATCAGAGGGCTGGAGCACTTCTATGATGACAGGCTGAGAGAGTTGAGGTTGTTCAGTCTGCAGAAGAGAAGGCTCTGAGGAGACCTTATAGCAGTCTGCCAGTACCTGAAAGGGCTACAAGAAAGCTGGGGAAGGGTTTTTTACAGGGCCATGTAGCAAGAGAACAAGAGGGAACTGTTTTAAGCTGAAAGAGGGTAGATTTAAGTGAGATACTAGAAACAAATTATTTAGTGTGAGGGTGGTAAGACACTGGAACAGGTTGCCCAAGGGGGTTGTGGCTGCCCCATCTTTGGAAGTGTTTGATGCCAGGTTAGATGGGGCTTTGAGCAGCTGGTCTAAGTGGGAGGTGTCCCTGCCCATGGCATGGCAGTTGGAACTAGATAATCTTTAAGGTCCCTTCCAGCCCAAACCATTCTATGATTCAATTTTGGTCACCTGTCCAATCCGCTCCTCCCCATAGGAGGATCACAGGTCTGACCCTTTTTACTCCATTTCATTTGCAGTGTATAAGAAGTTTAGCAGAACCAAGCAGTGGCCTTGGTTCTGCATACCATTCTCAAGCAGTAACTATCAACATTGAGTGTTATCGGTCCTAGAGGCAGACACTGAAAAATATTATGTTAATTTCAGAAAGTGCAGTTACTTACAAGAGACTTAACTGAAAAGTAAAATTACTAGACAGAAAAAATATTCTGTCCTGGCTGAAACCAGGACAACAAGGCTGGTAGTGTCCTATAGCTACCTTTAAAAAATCAGGTAAAAAATAATCCTTGGAAAAAGTGTAAGAATGAGCTGATTTGTTCTTTACTATCTATTTCCTGACTGTCTGCTACTCCGGATCACCAGTCGAGAAGATAGAGGATTTTGCAGAAGGAAAGTGATATATTAATATTTTAAACCAAGTAAAAAAAGTTTATTTCAATATTATCACCATAAGAAACAAACTGGTAAATTCCTACCTGCTAAGACATTTCCTCTCATTTTTTCACTATTGTTCCTGAGAGAGAAAAGGCATGCCACTTTAACATTTAATTTTCAACAGCTCTTTTTAAACATATTCATTTCAATCCAACTTGTTAGAGCATGATCAACAAAATCTACTTTGAGAACACAAGTGAGAAGCCCTATTTACAATACAAAATAATTGGGAACTGTAAGTATTTGTACCACAGGGGCGATTTTTTTCACACTTTAACACAATGAAAGCTTTGAAACTGACAACAGAAGGCTAACCTGAAATATCAGTGTTATCTATAGACCCAGTCCAGAGTTTGGCTGCAATAGTACCAAGTTTTGGCAGACATTGTCTCAAGAGCATCAGTGGTTAATAAGCTCTAGCTTCTTGTTAGTTTTGGAAGCAGCTATGCACGTTTAAGTTGCATAACTGCATTTCAAACCTGTTTATCCTGACCAAGGAGCCGAACCTCCCTACAGAATTACACCAAAGACAAATTACTATAAGAACAGTTAAGAAACACAAGGTTTGTCTTCTGACATTATAACCTGCAGCTAAGAAAAAAGAAATACCCCACCTTCAAGTTCCCCCCAGTACAGTTACTTAAGAAAAATAACACATTTGTTTACTCATTAACGACTCTAATCCCATGGACTTCTCGTAAGGACCAGCACATCACTCAGTTTTCGGTTTCTCATCTCGGCCGCGCAGTCCGTAGGCAGCCTGATCACCTGATTGGCGCTGCTACCCTGTGCAGGGGTACTCTCAGGGGCGGTGAGGCCAGCTGTTATTCCGCATCCATGCGGGCACCGACGAGCTGCAGTAGACAGCGATGGCCACTGAGGTGAGATGGCCCGCCCCGCCACAGAGTTATATCGGGGACAGGAAACAAAGCTACCTACTCCTCAAAGAGGCTAACTGAGCCCGAGCTGAGCCAGCCCACACTTATCCGGGGCAGGGGCGGTGCCGAACGAGTGGGCAGAACTAGCAGGGCAGCCTACCTCCCATTACCCGATTTGCTGGTGGGAAGGAAGAATACACCTGTCCTCTGTGCATAGCCCCCCAAAACCCCGCGCAACCCAACAGCCAATAGGAGGCGTGGAGCCACGCGCGCTTTTAAGCATCGCAAGAACCCTGCCCCACCCCCTCCGGTGCTAGGATTTTCGTAGACGCCATATTAAAAAAAAACAAAACAAAACTGAAGTCGTTTTCGCTCTCCTTTACCGCCTTCCATTGTCTCCACTGTTGTTGCCGCTCTTCTCGTGGCTCCAGTAGGGCAGGTTAAAAAAACAAAACAAAACAAAAGTAAGAAAACAAACAAATTAGGCCCCCCGCGGCGGTGCAGGGTGAATCGCGCGCCTCTCCTCATGACAGCCAGGCCTGTCGCCGTGGTCCACACGGAGGGCGGGGCGAACTAGGGGCCATCCCTAACCTGACGGGCAGCTGCCTTACCCAACGGGGCCACAGCGGGTCCTCACGGGGGGGAGGAGAGGAGGTGGCTGAGCCAGTCACTTGGCGGTGCTGGTGGATGTGTGCGCTGGTGGTCGTAGCTCTTCACTTTTCTTTCTCGTATGTGGTGGGTGCAGGTAAGCGTGGCTCGTGTGTGTAGCTGATGAACGTGAGGAGGGGATGCTATGCGCACGCTGGTGGGGTGGACTGAGCTAAACTAAGCTGGGCTGAGGGAAGTGGAGCTGTTGATCGAGCCCCGCTTAACGCTGCTGTGTGACATAGTAACGCGGGAGGCCGCTGGGCCCCTGGATTTTCGTGTGTTCCCCGCTGGCGGGGAGGCGGCATTGGGTAGGTCCGAGGACTGCTGCGGTAAGGAGGGGGCTAGGGGG